TTTTTTTTGGAAGGCGGTATGTAGGAAGAGATTTTTTTTTTCCAGTCATGGTCAACTGTGTGACAGAGTACATCCTCCTGAGAACGTAGTGTGTCTAGGAAGCGTGGCACCAGGAAGGTCCTGCTGCCAGCTGCCTCGCCTAGACTCTCTCCTGGAATACCACCCTTGCTGGATACTGTTTCACAAAGTTAGGCCCCAGATCCTTGCAAGGGCAGTAGCAAATTTGTTAGTTATTTACTGTAAGTAGTTGGGTTTTTTTTTATATAAGCTTCTGTAAATAAAGTGTTGTTTCCAATCACAAGCCTCATCGGGATACCACTAGCAGGCTCATTTGTTGTTCCAGGCACAAAATACAGTGCTTAGCCAACAGTTATGACTAACACAGGACTCTGCGATCTTAGCAGCTTCATGGTATGCACAGTGTATCCAGACTTGCTGCTTTTCCAGTGAAGAAAACAGCTTCCCTGATTAAAACACGGACCCCAGTTTTGGGGGGCTGATTTTTAGGGGATATGGTGGGTGTGAGAAAATACGGTATTTTATTTCTTGTTCTTTATATTTTGATATCCTTATTGTGCCTCATGAAGTCTGTGCTTGATAAAGTATGTATTTTGTCCTTTTTAGATAAAGATCCATATAGTTTTGGGAGGACAACTATAGCAAATTTAGAAACTGGGTAAGTAAACATAGGGAAGTATTAAATACAAAGTTTTACATTGTGGGCAGTCATACCTAAACTTTAATATTTCCGTTCATCTTTAAAAGTGCTAATTTACTACCCAAGGCCAGGCATTCCTTTGGTGTTATACTTATTCCCGTTGTTTAGGTGCATAAACTGAAACATGATATGTGACTTGCCTGGTGCTGTGTGTTGATGGTGCTGGGACTAGAAGCTACAGTCCTGGTTTCTGCTCTTTGCTCTAAATTTTAAAGCACATGCATGTCTTGACTAACAACCAGCAATAATAGCATTGTTGCTTTAAGGAATCATATTTCTGAGATTAAAATAAAACTAGCAGGTTTAGCAGAAAATATGATTTAGCTTATGATATATTAAAAATAAATTAAAAATAAAATAAGCCTAAACATACTAGGACATCTAAATACATACTGTAATTCCATTGTGCGTTAACTTAATGTAAAAAAGCTCCCTTCTCTTAAAAAGCCTTATCACACTACCTGTCATCTTAAGTGATATTTTTCCTACCAACTTAGTAAAGGAGTATTTAAAAAAAAAAAAATTAAAATGCACAAATCTGTTTTTTATGTGCCTTTAAATAAAGCGTCTTTGAAAGTGTGTGCTAGTTACTAATCCCATTACAGATGCAAGGAACTTTGTTGACAGTACAGATTTTCTTATGTAAGTCTTGAAAGAGAGGCTGACGCACACAAAGGTAAGAGTGCAGCAGTGGAGGCTACTACAGGAGCAGTGCATGCTATTCATCCATCCTTCTGCAAGCAGTTCATCTGGGTGCCTAGTGTAGGTTGTTCCCTTTTTTCTTTTTGTTTTTGGTTGACCAGAGTAATTTTGTAAGATAAGAGATCTCCTAGACATCATTCCTTTGTTTAGTTACTCAACACCCTGACTTCTAATATTGACAAAAAAAATGCCAGTAAATAAATGGAGCATAGCAGAGTGTACCATTGCATACCTGGGCAGAAAAATGCACGGTTAAAACCTGCTGAAAAAGTATGGATGGTTCTAGACTAGCTGCATTTTTTGGATGCCTACTACTTGTTTACACTAGGAAGATGTTGTCTTGTAAGCCAGGTGTCTGCAGGGATCAAATCATCATCAGCAAATTACATTTTTTGACTGCTTTAAACTGTGGATGGCTCTACTCTTAATAGCCCCTTATCCTTGCCTGCAACAGTGACATTTCTTCCCTTTTCTAAATGTTTTGTCCCACAGCAATGATCTTCTTTGGCTGCACACTGTTTTTGCTGTTATTTACCTGATTTTGACTGTTGTCTTCATGAGACATCATGTGAAGTATGTCAAGTATAAAGAGGAAAACACAGTAAGTTTCTATATTTGGGGAAAATCTACAGCATATTCATAAGTGGGAAATGCTAAAGAAAAGTTGATATAAAAACTTTTCCCTCCCTGCCAACTTGCAAATAAATATGAAGGAATCTATTAAAAGGTGAACACTGATTTCAGATGACCAAGAAAATAAATTGCATGAAGGAAGGGGGAAAAATACTTATTTTGTTTAGGTCTTTTCCTAATATAGAGGCTAATTCACTACTGGAAGCATATACAACTCCCAATGAAGTCAATAGCTGGCCTCTTTCCTGTTCTCTTTATTTGTTTTAGGACTAAGATACTTATGTGCTGTGTCACTGCCTTCTCTGTGTTCCTGTTTGCTCTCTTCGTTTGTGGTAGTGTTGAGAAACTGGGATCTTTTTCTTTTTCTTTTTTTTTTTTCCCCCCCCTCGCCTTTAGGTCAAGTGCACATTATTCATTACTGGTCTCCCAAAACATGCAAAGAAAGAAACGATAGAAAGGCACTTTACGTAAGTCTCCCATACTTGATTGACATATGTATAAGGAGCAGGTTTAAAGGCCAAAGTAGAAGGGCTCTTGGTTTCTAAACTATTCAGAAATTGTCATCCTACTCTCACTCTTCAGGAAAAAAAATCTTGATTACATGAGAGAGAGAGAGAGAGAGAGAGAGAGAGAGAGAGAGACTGGGCCTGGGTTCTATCACAGTTCTGGGGTTGTGGTTAGTGAGTTAGAGGAGATGGGCTCCGGAAGCTGGAATGCCTGGGTTTTCTCTCATTCCATATTTTTTGTGTAAGATTAAGAGGGTTGAATAAGTGCTGAACTTCTCAAGGAAAAAAGTTAGTCACCTTAATTTTAGTGTCTAAGGAATTGCATGTATATTCATACTGTTTTTAATGTGGTTCCCATCTGGCCTTTGCCATGTGTTAAACATAATTGCTACAAATTAATATACAACACATTTCCATTTTTACAGTCTCCTTTTTAGAAGGCAGAGTAATTGATTATGATATTAATAGACATTCTGTCATGTACACTCTCTCCTAATGTATTTCTCTCTTCCTTTTCAGTGCTGCATACCCAACTTGTAATGTGCTAGAGGTCCAGTTGTGTTATGATGTAGCTAGGCTTATTTATCTTTACAGGGAAAGGTACTTGTATGCATAATATACCTACTTCTTTTTTATAATTCTAGATAAATATTGCCAAGCTTTATTAACAATATATCAAGAGTAGGAATCTTATAGATGCTAGAGATGAATTCTACTGTTCAGATCTGCACCTGATTTGAACTTTAAGGGTGTTGAGGGCTGCAGCTCTGGCTTCAGTATATCTCTAGTAGGCACCATATATTTCACATCATGACTAGCTGTGACTTAGTGATTTGAGAACAGTGCAGGTGTTTCAGAACAAGAAACTCTAGTTTTAACTTAGTAATTTTAGGTTGATGGTTCCAAGGTCCATGAGACTGGACCCATTACAGTAGATTTTATGTTCAGGGCAATGCAAGAAGAGTCCTGAACACAACTTGGTTTTGTAGACTTCCTTTTAGTTTGGTAAAGAAGTTAACTGTATTATGCAGCGAAGGTGTATGTTGGGGGAAGTGTTTTATGTTGGTTGATTTATTCCTTATCAGTCCTTGGGAAGACTTTTACTTTCAGGATTTCATTTTCCCTAGGCTTGTTATTGTGGTTCTGCTATTCCATTGCAAAATCTAATGCATGTATTCTTGTATCTAGAAAAAAGGCAGAAAAAAGCCTGACTTATTTTACACACCTGCATCATAAGTATGACAAGCGGGTCCGAATCAACCCAAAGCTATGTGGTCAATTCTGTTGTTGTGATATTGGAAGATGTAAAAGGGTAAGAGTCTATTTCTGCTGCTTCTGTCATCATCTGCAAGAGTTTACAGTTTATTTGTCTTGCTGGGATCCTATGACCCCTGCTGACTTCCCGCCCTTAGGGCAGGGGGCTGGACTCGAAGATCTTCCAACGTCCCTTCCAGCCCTGATGTCTGAAATCTAGGATCGGAGTGTTGGAAATATAGGACGCCAGGTTTTTTTGTGTTGGACACCTGTTCCTCTTATTGGAACAACTGTACAAAAGATGTCACAAAAAACCCTTGCATCTTGAAGACTTTCTGCAGAGAATTTAACATTGATGTTAAAATCCATATGCATGTTATATTAACACGAATATACTTAAGTTCCTTGAATCTAAGATGACCTCCCCCCCCATTTTTCCATGTAGATTCTTTACGTAGGAAATGAATACATGTTACAATTTTCCATTTTTTAGAATCTAATTACTGGGGGGGGTAATCTTTTAATTCATCCCTCCCACCACTGCAGCGGGGGAGGCTATGGGGAAGCAGGTGGTGTGGGGAGGTCAGGCAGCTTACCTCCTGCTTGTGCCTGCACTACTGCCACCTCTGCCCCCTACCTACCCTCCCCCTCTCCCCTTTTCCCCAGCCTCTGCTCTACTTTGGCAGGCTCTATCCCCATTCTAGCCTGGGGCACTGAGCACAGGCCCCACCCTGGCCCCATAGCAGCCATATGGGTCTGGATTGGTGCTACAGGACTGGGCTAGGGCTGTGCTCAGTGCCTCAGGCTGCAGCCTGCTGGCATGGAGCAAGGGTAAGGTGGGGAAAAGAGCAGGGGTGGGGGAAGAAGACTGCAGGGGGAAGATGGTGGGGTGCAGATGTAGTGTGACGGGGAAGAGGACAGGCAGCAGCTGCTGCTGTGGCCCTGACCCTGAGTAGGGGCTGCACCCCAAGCTTGCCCCCACCCTGCCCTTTATATGCGATTCTTGAGATGAGGGGCTTTCCCCCATGTTAAAAGTGTGTGGGGGAAACCTAGTATTAGAATCAAGCAAATACAGTATATTATATTGCATTAAAGAACTAGAGTTGTCCAGAAGACTGGTATCTTACTATAGTAGGGAAGCAGGAGGAGGGAGGGATTGTACTTTGTGGAAGTTGTATTGAATGAGAAGAAAAGATCACCATTTGGTGTTGGTATCTAACAGGAATCCGTTTTCCAACAGGAAGATGCCATAGATTATTATACCCGAGTTACAAAGAAGCTGCTGGAAGAATACTTGAAAGAAGAGCAAACTGTTCATAATAACCCACTGGGAATGGCTTTTGTAACATTCCAGGAGAAATCTATGGCCACATAGTAAGGGGTTGTGTTGTGGGGTTTTTTTTCATTTTTGGGGTTTGTTTGTTTTTTTTATTTGGGCCGGTGGGCGGGGGGGTGTCTTTTTGTCTCTGAACATTGTCATGAGTGAATCCATCTAGTTCACCTGGGTTGGTTCCTCCTTTCTTCATCTGCTTTCTGGATTTGGTGTATTCTACTTCCTTGGACCTTTTCCCAGAGGCCCTCTGCCTCTTCATGATCTAAAAATTAGTCTAGCCAAGGACTGGATGGTTGTAGGGACTTAATGGAGCAAAGAGTGCTGCCTCTAAGGACTGGATTCTAACCACCCGCCTAAGCCAGAAATGGATGAAAATAGATGGTTGACAGAAAATGAACTATCAATAGCTATATATATTATATATAATTCACCGTGGATCAGTGTTAGCAGGTAAAAGGCTGTGCTTAATATTCTTGGTGGTAACAGTTGCTGCTGACAGTGATGAAAAGAGGGAGAGTTTCCTGACACCCTTTCATTTTTTTTCTCTTTCAAAATACTTCCTGCCAGCAGCATGCTACTCAGCCCTCAGCCTGCACCTCTGCAATTTGGAAACTGTCCAACTGAACATATACTTTATATTTCTGTGTAGCTACAGCTATTTATAGGCCTTGCTGTTGAAATTGCTAAGCCATTTTGACTTGTGTTGACCTTTTTGGGAGTGGGTGTGCTCAGCACCAGAGCCAAGTTATTTACAGGGATCCTGGTTTTCTCCTATTATTTAAAAAAAAAAAAAAAAATCCCCAACTTATATATATATATAATATATATATAGTGATGTTTCAATTTAATCATGGAAAAATGTGGATTTTAGGTTACTTTTTTTAACAAAAAAAATCCCTAATTTTCAGTCGGTGAGAACAAGGGTCCCTGGCTATTTACAATGGAATTCAGATTAATTCTGTTATTAGCCAAGTGTTTGTTAGCAGCAGTTCTCTTCCTAAGAGGCTGGAAAGGAGAATTAAGGTGTGTGTGTTGGGGGTGGTGGGAAATGGGTCTCTGTAGAAAACTGTGGTCCCATGGATTATTTCCTTTGTGGGTCCCTCAGTTTTGCTATTCACAACCCTTTCGGTCAAAGGATCAATTATTACCTGATCAGTGGGCCAGGCCGCAGAGCCTGTCTATGTGAGCTCAGAGATGTCAAGTTTAGGATGTGGGGCTGCTTCTGGAAATTTTTGAGGAATTTGTGCTGGAGTTTGCTGTTCTGTTGCTCTTGTTATAGATTGTAACTTAAAAAATTTTAAAGGAGTGGAGAGTCTGGGTTACTATCTGTATGATGGGAAATTGATATTAAAAATAAACAAAGAGTCTTTCCAAACTTTAGCTTAACAAAGATATCCTCTTCATTTGAATATTTTCCCCTTGGTGAGTTTCTTCGGAATTATCCAACAGAGATGTCTCATTCAGTTCTGGGGAAATGAACAAGATGTTTCAAATCTGCTTGTTGGTATCATTTAGACCAGTGGTCAGTGGGATGAATCATCTTTGAAAAAGTGGGTCGGGTTATGCATGAAAATGAAGTTAGCATCAAGCAATTGAGTGCTGCTGATAGCCGCTGCTCCAGATGGCATAGTAAACGTGCTACACACCAGGACTGTGATGCCTTGACTCTGACTATAGAGGCTTGGTTGTAATCCATGCTTGGGCATCTTTTATAGTGAAGACACTCGAGCTGACTTCCAATCTATTTTGCATGGAAAAACATTCCAAATAATTATTTAGTGTTAAATATGTGGTGCAAAAATATTGAGGTTTTATGAGAATAATTGTATTGCAGTTAGAAATAGAACCCCCATTTTCCTGTGTTGAGTTTGGTATGTGTTGCTCTCAGGGCAGATTTGATTTAAATCGTATCGATTTAAGTCACTGGTCAGGAAGCCTCAATTTAATCATTGTTTTCTACAAAAATACATTCTTGTTGTTTGATATCCTTTATTCATTTAACTTCTTGAAACTGCACTTTTAGAGAGAGGTAGGGGCTTGACTGTGTGCACGCAAATTTGCAGAGAGCCAATAGGACTGAGGGTAGGTAGTTGGGTCTGTTCTCTCTCCTCTCCAAAAGCTGCTGTTAACATGGATGTTATCTCTGGAGACTACAGACTCTCCCTGTGCCTGAAGAAGGATGATTGTGCCCAAAAGCTTGCAAAGAACAATTTTTCCAACTTAGTTGGTTTAATAAAATATATCACATCTACCTAAAAAACCTTGTCTGATTATAATCTCTGGAGACAAATCCACAGTTTGAGAACTGAAACTAAGCAACACAGAGATGCTTAATGGGGTCTTTTAGACTGAGCACTGAGTCCCATTGGATAGAATGGTTTTCTTTAATCTTTAGTAATCTATAGAAGAGCTTCTGGGAACCCCATGAGATTGGGCCCCGAATATAGTCCATAGCCTGTTGTGACCTATTTATAAAACTTCTAAAAAGGTTGCTTGAATATATTGGGTCAAATAGTATATAATTAGAAGTTACAATCCCTATTCCATGATGATCTCTTTGAGCTTTAACATATTTTAAATTAAAACTATCTTTATATGTTCATTTTTTTTAAAGCATCTTAACATAAAATAAAAAATGAGATTAATAAAAAAATCTTATTTTTAAAATGAAAAAGCATCCATTTTTATCCACACTGGTTGCTCTATTGCAGTTGTTTTTTTTCACATGTAAGAAATGTGACTGAAGCATAATTACTGTGTTCAGGTACTTCAGATAGGTGATCTATTGAAATACAGCGCATGCTTCTTCCATCCTTTATATCATCAGAGTTTCGCTAGTGCAGTGTATTTTTAACAGTAAAAACCTCGGTTATCATGCTTTTTAGAATTTGAACCTTAACAGTTCTGTGTTTGGGAAAGCTATAAATGCCCTGAATTTCCCAAGCAACCTTGTCTGAATTTCCCATGCTTTCATTGGATGTGAGTTTAACAAATGTCAATTTAAATACTGATTCTAGGAGATGATATCCATGTCTTAAATTTTACATTTTGAGAAGGGGAAGAAGATATTTTTCAACTTGAGCACATCACCAGCATAGCAAAAACGTTTTCAGAAGTATTATCCTAGACTAGGGCTGGCTTTTAGTTTCAGTGTCCTGAGCAAGAAAACAAACAAATCCATTGCTTTGTAATGAGTGGCTTGTGCTGTACTAGAGCTCTTTGCAAAGGCATGTGAGGCACTAAGACTTTTAATAGGGCAGCGCCAGAAGTTCCTCTCTGTTGATAGCCCTCTTAGCAACTTAAGGCAAGGCTTTTATTGGTTAGATACCTGTAAGAGCTGACAGAGGCAAACTGAGATGTATATTTAACTGTTACATGCATAAGGCAGGTTAGATTTGCACCTTTTGAGACTAACCACATCTGAGATGTATAGCATAAGTTTTCATAAGCCCAAATTGCTGTGTCATTATTCATGCTTATGCTATTCATTATCAGATGCTGTGTCATTATAAACAAAGTCAGAGATGCATAGCATAAGCATGAATAAAGGTGCAAATCTTCCCTGGCTTTTGCCTGACTTCAGACTAATATGGCTACCTACCTCTCTGTTACTGCAATTTTACATGATATGGATGTATTATCCAATAACAGTCTCAAGCTGGTGTAATAAAAACTTTAATCTTTAGCAATCTCCTTGCTTATGCATGTGATGCTTCCAGGTGTAAAACTGCATTTTCTTTCTTCTTCCAGTATCCTTAAAGATTTCAATGCCTGCAAATGCCAAAGTTTTAAGTGTAAAGGGGAACCTCAGCCATCCATGTACAGCAAAGAACTCTGCATTTCAAAGTGGAATGTTACATATGCAACTTACCCCGAAAATATTTGTTGGTAAATTCTCTTTTATTAAGTTTTAATTCAGAATTTAAATTTCAGGTGAGAGGGATTGGGCTATTTGTCTGTCGCCAGAAGAAAACTGGGCTCTTTTGTGGGAGGGGAGAAGGGATTGCATTGAAGAGAACCATTTTGTGAATAAGTCTTAGTGAATTGAGCAGAAAATTGGGAGCTGAGATCTGTGACTTCTTTCTATTTCCAACTAGGGTTAGCAAGCCATTCAATTGACCCATCAAATACTGTCAATTGACTGCATATTTTTGACTGGTCAAAGATTGTAGCAATTTCACAAAAAAAACCCCCTATCTTTTTGTAGTTTTCTTGACGGAAATATGATTTTTAAACCTTTTTTGACACATTTCTTAATGGAAAATTTGTGCTTTTTCTGTGTATTATTTAGACCTATGGCTACTTACAATTTGACCTATATTTGACTGGTCAATTAGCCAAACTTTATTTGACTGTTTTCTATTTTATTACTTTATTTGAATTAGTTACCCTGGATAAGTCACTTACGGCTGACTTGTCGTTTTCCTCCTTAGGGGTTCTAGATACCCATAGTTTCTATCACCTTCCAAGCAAATCAGTCTCTTAACATCTGTACCTCAGCTTTTCCACTTTCAGAATGAGAACAGTGCAGATCTATTTTATGAGATCTAGGGATCTCATTTAGCCCTGTACCAGTGTTAAATGTTATGAAAGTGTTTGATTTCTATAATAAGATGGCAGCAGTTCACCCTATTCTGTAATTAAGCATTGTCTGCCTTTTGAAATGTTGGTGGACTAGTAAACTTGGCAAACATAATGTGCTACCAGTAGGGGAAAACTTAAAAAATTAGTAAGTACTGTTCAGTCACTGTTTTGCCCTAGCCATTGCTCCTCACCTTCTCCTTTGCCTGAGAGAGACCCCACAGATCAATGGATTCTTTCCAATATACTTGCAAGTGATTTTTATATTAAAACAATGTAACATGCATTATAAGGGGGGGAAAAAAAAAAAAGTTTACAAGTTGCCACTGCTTGACATAATCACAGTGGAGACTTAAGCAATGTATTTATCCATTAGAGAGGTTTTAAGCCATGATTTAGAATAATACATCCTTTATGTAGCGTATAATAAATATTTACCTATGTTTTTGCAGTGAGTCACTGCTGGAACTGTAGCCTGGAACTTGGGCA